AAAAGATTTTATTTATTTATTTGAGAGAGAGAGAATGAGAGAGAGCACATGAGAGGGGGGAGGGTCAGAGGGAGAAGCAGACTCCCTGCCGAGCAGAGAGCCCGATGTGGGACTCGATCCAGGGACTCCAGGATCATGACCTGAGCCGAAGGCAGTCGCTTAACCAACTGAGCCACCCAGGTGCCCCCAAAATATAGTTTTATAATATAAAGGACTCATACATTCTGATTTTAAATTTTTTGTTATGTATATTGGAAATGGTTTATTTCAAACTCTTTGAACTGAATGGGTTTTTTTCTTTTTTCATGAAAAAGCTTTAAAATTTTTAAGTATATCATTTTTTCCTACTGATTTGAAATGTCACTTTTATTATAAACTAATTCACATATATTAATGTGAGTCTCTTTCTGGACTTTGTTTCTGTGTTTCTATTTCATTGATTTCTTTTCCTATTCCCAGGACAATATTACTCTTACAATTACTATGGTTTTTTAAAGTATGCTTTGATATCTAGCAGGGCAGAGTGCTCTCATTACCCCTCTTTTTAGAAATTCGTTAATACAAGTATTTACTCTTGAATTGAACTTTGGATTTAGGTTACCAGATCCCATTTAAGAAATCTTGTTTGGGATTTATTGAAGTTATGATTAATTTGAGAATGGTCTTCTTTATAAATATATAAATACTCCTTATAAATAAGGAGTGTTCCCATATAAGAATTTAGTATCTCTCTTCATTTATTTAGGTCATTTATGTATTTCAGTAATGTTGTATAGTTATTACAGTTACTGGACCTCTACACAAGGTTGACTATCAGTAGTGATAGTAATCATTCTTGAACTGTTCTTTTATTGTTTTACATTGTGACTACATTGTTCTTGGTAAGTTTCTAGAGGATACACTTAAGACTGAGGGACATTTATTTATAGGTTAATGAAGACTTTTTTATCAAGGTTTTTATCAGAAATGCTTCTTAAGCATCTATTGATGCTTTTTTTCTTAACTTTTTTCTATTCTTAACTTTTCCACATTATAAGTTAAACCAGATAAAGGTGTATTCTTGCATTTCTGGGAAAATCTCATTTGGCTATTTAAATATAATGCTGAATTTATTTTGCAAGTATTCCAGTTACAGAGTTGCCTGTAAAGTTTGCTGGTTTTGGTGCTATTCTCAAGATGTAACTTACGGCCTTACAACCATATTCTTTATACAAGAAAACCATATTGAGTGATGAGGGAAGGCAATGCTCAGCTCTGGTTATTCTATCATATTCTAAATATGCTCACTGCATATTGAGAAAAAAAGGAGAGCTAAACAGTTTCTAACAGATTATTGACCAATTCTGAAAGCTATATAATACTGTAAGAAAGCAAATTTCTTTATAGTGTACTAACATTTCAACATATCTTAAATTTTCATTTTTTTAATTGAAGATTTTAAATATTGTGACAAAAAGTTTTTTTTTTTTTTTTTAAGTTCATTGTGAAGGATTCTGTTGAAGAAAATATGCTGAAAATACAAAACACAAAGAGAGAACTTGCTGCTGGAGCCTTTGGAACTAAAAAAACAAATGCTAATGAAATGAAACAAGCTAAAATTAATGAAATCAGAACTTTAATTGATTTATAATTTGTGGGATTTGGTAAGGTCAGTTTGATTAGATATATATGGAAATTTTGGAAATCAGAAAATAGAGTTTTAGAAATGAGATCTAGAGTATGTCTTCTTTAAAAAGAGCATATCATTTTATATTAGTAAAGTATTACTGATATATAGTCTCTTCTATATATGAACCTATTTTTAATGATATTTCAAATAGCAATAAGTTCTGTTATATACTGTGGCCTAAAATAATTTTTTGAGAAAGTTGTTATTCAGCTTTTCATATTGTCTTTGCTGAGTATTTTCATATATCTTTCAAGTACTCAGCTTTTTCATATTTCAAATAAGGTCAAACCTTTTATACTTTTGACCAAATAAAAGAGTTTTCTGTGTTGGACACATTTGGTTAATCACTAGAGCCTTCCATTTGTGATGTGATGGATTCACAGTCCTTGTAAACGATTAATACATAGATTATATACAAGAGATTTCATTACTTTGAAAAACCAGATTTGCATTCCAGAATCAAACCTTAAATGAGAGACTGAAGTCCAGGTTAGCAGGTTAACTTACAATTTTTTTTTTTTTTTTAACAGTTTGAGATCTAATTCACATATGTGATTTGCAGTTTTATGTTTATGAAAAGATAGGGACTGTGTTAGAATACTATTTTTCTCCATTTTAGTCAAGTAGTATATTGTTTAAATGTCATTCAATGTGTTAGTGTGTAAATAGTCTGGGGGTGAGAAGGAACCAGTTCTACCCAGTTTAATTTGAATATTTAAATTATGGAATTGCTGAATAGATATTTCTATATAGAGAGATAATTTTTATTTATGTAGCTTTTTTTTTTTAAAAAATAACTTTATAAATTTTTATAATTCAGAAGACTACTATATGTGAGAGGCGTGATATCTGGATGGAAGTTGGGCTGGATGACCTCCAAAATCGTTTCAACTCTTAAAGACATCTTAATCCTGAATGGAAAAATTTCTTTGTTACTGTGTTTAGAATCAGACATTGATTTTGGAACTTCAGTAATTCACCCTACATTTATCTATAAAATTAGTCCTCTTTTTCTTACTTTTTGGTTAATCAGACTCACGGTAGTTGTCATGGCATTCCAGATGACTCTTTGAGTCACATTTAAATAAGCTCTGCATTTGCCAATCACGTTAGTTAGTGGTGTCCTTCCTTAAGGGGAACTTTTTAATCCAAAGAAAGATTACTGTACAGGAGAAGCTTCCTGTTTGGCCATGCAGACTTGAGAACACCTTTCATTTTACTTACAGTGTTAAGAAATGACTTAAAGATAAGCTTGGAGGCAGTGTTGTGTTCTAGGGCATACATCGAGCTATGTGCTGAATCTGTCGACAGCTAAATTCTCCCCTCCCTGTGCCCGGTCTCCTGCTACAAGGGAACAGTGTATTAGGCAGCAAGAATCTTCCCAGCCCCTTTTCTCTTTGGCTGCAGGTAAGGCAGAGGGCTGGGTAAAAGGATCAACAGACCTTTCTGTACAGATAAGAGTGGAATAATAACCTGGGGTTGGTCCACTAGCATTAGGAGCAATTGGGAATTTCTTTACCTTGTAGAACTAGCATTACACAAAAAAAATCAGGTTGATGAAAATCTCATGAAATATACTATGTGGATTTCTATACACCAGTACTCCCGTGAGATTAAGTACAGAAAGAATGTTCAGCAAAAAAAGAGAGATATATACTCTTCTTGCTTACAAAGGCAAAGCCTTGCAAACTCACTGTAAAAGACTTTGCTTGCCTCTTTACCTAACATTTATAGACTTGTGTTTTTAAACATAATGATAAATTTGGCAAGTCATTTAAAAAATACCTGTTTTTGTACAGTTCTATTAAATGGTGTTAAACAAATTTAATTCATCCGAAGGAAATATATATATAAACCACCAGAATGAAAAGTTCGTATTATGCTCTGCTGTTAATTCTGTTTCATCATTACGTAGAAAAATAGCTTTAGAAGTATCTTGAAGACATTGTATCCCACTTGTGGTTCAAACTGAATTTTGTGGTTCAAACTGGATTTTGTTTTAAAATAAATAAAAGTTTTAAAAATCCACTTCTGTGCTATAATTTTTGTGACTTTTTCTTTGAAAGTTTTTTATAAATCTCACACTTCTGTGAAGATACCTATATTACACATTTGTTTTTCACTGACAGTACATAAAAAGTACTATGAGTAACAAGTTTATTCTTACCACCTATTTTGCTCAATTTGGCTGAATTTGTTTAGAAATCAGAGTGTATATATTTTTAAAGTTAAGTGCCTTGATCTTCTAAAACATTGGTTCCATTTATTTTCCACATCTACCAGGAAAAAAGTTGATGCAATAATACTTACGTGTAGTGATATTTATTACTAGATAGCACTCTGCATTGTAGATTTTGCCCTAATCTAGGATTAAAATAATAAATCAAGAAAATATCTTGTGCTTATTACTAGTGAGTAACAATGAAATTATCATCTTCAGGCAGTGTATGTTTTCTATTGGCGGAAGTCAAAGGCATTGGTGTATTTTTCTCATTATAGTACTTGCCAAAATTCTATTCATTAGGATTTGGAAGATTCATTAAACACACGCGGATAGATATGTTTGGCTTAACAATAACTCAGATGTTTAAGTTTTTAGCTATATTAACTTTAAAATACTTATAAAAGGTGTAATACTGTTTTCCCTCATTCATCAGTAAGTATGTAGTAACCAAGTTCTACATTCTGGAATTGGATACCTTATTTGTGTGGTAGGTACTTCTGAGTAAGAAGAGCCAGAAACTGGTAGCTGTGAATAATGACTGGGATGCTTCCCTGCAGTATTGCCTACTTCAAAGGGGAAACTGTTGATTATAAACCTTATAAGCAGATGTTTTCTTTCCTGTTAATATATTCATATTTCTTGTATGTAATAAGGGAGAGTAGTCTTCTATATGAACCCATAATTACTCCATTTGAAAGAGCAAATGAGTTACCAGTTTTTGATTAAAATGTGGGATGTTTAAATCTTCCAATTCCCTATTCAACCTTCCTGATCAAGAGTTTTCTGACAAATTTAAACCCATTGCTACTTTTTATGAAAACTGATTTCTAGATGAAAGGAACACCATTTTAATAATGTTCATAATTTAGTGTGTATGGCACAGACCACCTCCATTAACCTCAGCCAGGTGTCCAAAACTTTATAATAACTAAGGCTGCGGACCTTTATTTAGAAGGCTACCACCAAATGTCAAAATGATTTCTTAGGTTGGTGGATAAAAGAAATTCTAGGACATGGGTTTGCATATTTGAAACAGTCTAGACTACTACAAGGGGATATTTAATGTGATCAGAAGGGATATTAAGAGTCCTCAAAGTATATATTGTTAAGTATGTGCTGCACTTACTAAAGAAGAGATAGGAACACTTTCAGGAAGGTTTTCAGTAAGTTTGCAGTCTTTTAGCAATCTAGTTAAGAATAAAGGCAGATAAAATTCACCAGGATACAACTTCCAGAATGCTTAATTTACCTTTTTTGTTAGGGGAGGGAAGGGCTATTCCCTAGTACACTGTAGGTTTTTAAAGAAAACTTGCCCTGGTATCAGTATGTTGGTAAAGAAAAGGTAAATTAAATATTTCATGAGAAATGTTCCAGTGAAGGAGACGTAATAGGCTTCTTGCAGGTGTAAGTAAGGAGATTTAAGATAAACAGTCATTTCAGGCATGAATTATAGACCTTGAGCAAGCATGGAGTTAACCTCCAAAGGTGTGGATCTGACCGTTGTGTAGGCAAATTTGTCATAGAGCAAAAGGCTATTCTTATCCACCACTGTTCACAAGATTTTTAAAAAAATGGTAAGAACATTTGATCCTCTACAAATGTTCTTATAATCTGAGTTATTGCTGCCATTTTACACATCTTACTAGGTGATCCGTGGTAGTTTAGGCTCCCTGGAGAAGATTTTGAAGTGTAGTTGGAAAAGTAGTACTTCACCTTAATTAAGGCATATCCTTGAAAAGATCAAGGAAAGAAACCTGTTAGCCTAGTTCAATGATTTCTCAGCCTCTTAACTGCATAATTCTATGCACATTACATGCTGTTTTCTATGGTATACTTGTCATCCTTTTTTATAGCCTTCAAAAGTTAATAGCCTTCAATAAATATTTACTTAAATTATGTAAGCTTTTTCACTTTAGAGCTTTATTGCTTATACAATGTTAAAAAAAAAGGGAACAAAAAGTATTAAGACAAAAAAACCAAGTGATAGGTTTGCTTCCTTCATACACCAAATTTGATGCTTTGATAACCTTTTCTCAATTACAAAAAGAAAAGGCTTTGAGTCTTGTGATCTCTTTTGATACAGAAAGTTCCAAAATACACTTACTCAGATTATATACTGCATGGCAGTATTAGTTGTCTGAAGACTGGATTTCTGTTAATCTCAACCAGGGACCCAGGAGCCAAAAGACTTCGATCACCTAAAATAGTAGCCTTCAGTAAATCCCTATACAGTTGACCCTTGAACAACATGGGGGTTAGGGGTGCTGATCCCCCTGTGCTGTTGAAAATCCACGTAGAACTTTTGACTCCCCCAAAACTTACCTACTAATTAACCAGAAGCCTTACTGATAACACTCAACATATATATGTATATATATATAATTATATACTGTATTTTTATAATGAAGCTGGAGAAAAGAATTACTAAAATCATAAGGACAAGAAAATACAGTACTGTACTATATTAAAAAATAAATCCATGTGTAAGTGTACCCTCGCAGTTCAACCTGTGTTGTTCAAAGTCAACTGTACTTGACTCAGTGGAAAAGGACTAGCATTCAAAAGCCCTTTCCTGAACATTTGACTCTCTTCCTATTTTTATTCTAGGCAAACAGTAGTGAGAAATGGTAGCTGACAGACGGGACATCAAGAAACAAGTGAATACAGAATAAGTAGATCACAAGAACTGAACTGCTTTGTGTAAGGTGTAAGGAGCCTTTGCCCATATAGGTCTGTGTTGACCCTGATTACATCACAATATCACGGAATAGTCTCCTATAATAGAAGTTGTGCCTCTTCTAGGCCACTAAAACCACTGAAAACAAGATAATAGAGGCTTCTTGTAAGATACATGTGTACAGAAGTTGAATCAAGTCCCAGCCAAAACACAATAAATTCTATTCTGGGATTTTTTCCATTTATTTTTATATTGTAATTTCAGGCAGCCTTCTTTTTTTTTTTTTTTT